GGCATTTCACATAGAATTGGATAGATATCCATTCTAAATGAAACATGGATCAATGAAATCCCCATTTTGGGCTCTCATGTATTGATCTTAATTAGTGTATTGTGAAAACATAGTAAGGGCATAATGTACCCTAACTTTAAATCAACACCTAGGGTCAATCCTAAGGCCAAGTAACCCTATAAGAACTCTTCTTGAGCTCTCCCATAATGATCTTACCTTCTAAATATTAGAGGTTAGGACCAATATGTGGAATTTCAAGTTGAGCAAAGATAAGAGTTTGAATTTCTAATGGTGAGGATACCTTTTCTAGTTTTCTAAGACTAGTCAATAGGAAAGTCCTATGGCTAGACCTAGGCTACTAAAGAAGTTTCTAGACCTCAACCAAAAGTGAGGTCAACAATAGGGAAATAATATTATCGGGCGTAGAATTGGAGATTTTAGAGTGACAGACTAAAATCCCCAATTTAGTCCTATCGTTTGGGTGCTGTAGTGTAGATGTTAGTCCTCAGGCGAAGGGAACGTGGGAACTCTGAAGTGAGAGCCGGTATCCTCCCAACCTAGCTGCAGAATCAATAAACAAGCATAGGATTAGTCAATGTTCTTTATGCCTGGACCAAATGATAAAGAATAGGTATGCTCCTATTTGGCACAATACAAATTAAACTAATTCACTTTAACCATCACTACAATTTCTTGTCAAGGAGAAGGATGGTTTCTTATATATTGAATATCACATTAAAAACCTCATTAGCATAATTAGTTATTTAATAGTTTTTATAATTACATATTTATTTCAATTGCCTATTAGTGACAGATAAGCAAATTGAATTTCCTTGTTGCAATTAAAGTATTGCTTTTCTAAAATCTTAGTTTGTAGTTCTAATATTACTCCCTGTGGGATCGATATCTAGGACTCCATTAGAGCACTATATTACTGGAGCGATATGTATACTTGATTTGATAAGTGTGACTTTACAATTATTGAATATTTATTACATCCATATTTATTAAATCTATAACTGTTATTAAGTTCTGGTACAGTTGCTGAGGAATTAATTAATTTAGCTGCAGTATTAAATACGTATATTTTTGATGTCATAACTTTCTCTAGTTTATTTGATCAAGCCTCACCCTCAATTCTTGTATTCATCCTTTGGGATAGATATAGGATTTGAGGTAAAATGCTTTTTCATCTAAACTATGAAAATTATGGGGTCAGTTTGACTTCATCTTTTTCAAAATTAAAATTTTTAAAACGTCTTTCCGAAGCGGGCAACGGGATTTCAATTCCGATGACCGACAGCTTCTTACGGGCAAACCCCACACCAAAAATAGTGCCGACACTAACCCATTTGTTAAAAATGTTACAAATGTGTGAATGTGTTTCACATAGATCAAATTGGCCAAGTTTTAAATATGTTTTAATGCTGCTCCCCTCGTCCATAGCTTCCACCACATAGTGCCCCATTACATGCTGGCTATTAGCCATTACCTCCTGTTGCATATTATCATCGTCGTGAATTTTCATCAATCAATACCCACAGCTAGTAACCAATTAACTATACATCATGACAAATATATTATATTTTAAATAATTGAAATACAACATATTTCGAATAGACTATATTTTAGCTAATAATATACATTTAACTTTATTTAGATTTTAAAATATTTTTAAAACAAAAGTACAATAAGCTATTAAATCACCCAGTCACATTAAAAAGATTAAAAACTCAAAATTATTTTCTCATAAATTATTATTATAAGCAATTAAAAATAGAAGATAGCAGTCGGACAGAGAGAGAAAGTGAGCGCGCACTAATAACAAAAGGAGCTCCATTTTTTCTTGTAGATCCAGCCCTTCTTTTCCGTCATAGCTCCTCCGGCGGAGAGCTCATCAATTTCCGACACCTTTTCGCTCGTCCCTTTTCCTTCCTCCCTTCTCCATCTGGATCTCGTCCCTCACCTTTTAAATTCCGGGTTTCCCCAATCTCCTGTCGCCGAAGGCGCTGCTCCAGACTCTGGGAATCGCGTGAAGGGAGTTACTAACCATGAATCCGTTCTCGTCTGGGACTCGTCTAAGGTGAGCTAAGATCTTATATTCTCATTGGAACTTATTTATGCCATTTACCGTTTATGTGACCGCCTTTTCACTCCGGATTTCTTGTGCCTTCTGCAAAAATTGGTTTTTATTGAGACGAATTGGCGATCATTTCGCCTTCACGAGGATACTGCTGAAATAATTTGTAGCATATTGATCAAATCTAGACCATGTAGTATTGGTATTTGGGATATTGATACTTCGCTTATAGGCTAGTGCGGCAGCTTAGCAATTTTAAAGAAGATTCATTCTGTAGGTTCAATAATTAATGTCATAGAGATATGTTTGGGAAGCTTAAATTTTCCCTTTTTCTTTTTGAAGGTCTTATGGGGAAATTTCTGAAGCTAGGTAGAGGCAAATGGGTAGTTAAAATTGCATTACTATGTGCTCTGCTGTTACCTCTTTTCTTTTTTTATTGCCACAAGCTATGTTGAGCACTGACATTAACTGCCACACAACGCAGTAGTATGCTAGAAAAATTCTAGATCACTTTACCTTATGTGGAATTATGTTGTACAACTTTTAAACTAGAGGACCCTTGTAGCTATTTAGATTGTTTGTTCAAGGTTGGGTTATTGCTTAGGATGGATTGTTTTCTGCATTCTTCTTGGAGCTTAGACCATTCGGTAGGTAATGAGATTTTGAAAACTTCCGTAGTGGGAACTGGATGGTTTTGTTGTAGTTCTATTTGTTGCTATTGGGAAAGTGCAACAGGAAGGCCTGAAGTTGTTTAAGAAATTCTTAATTTTAAAAATTTTCAAAACATTATTTAACACATTATTGGGCTTTTGTTTGTCTACATGTGTGGTGATTGTATAATTTTTAGAAATAAAGCATTTGCTTTCGGTAAGAGAGGGATTGTATTCGGTAGGAAATTAAAATCAACTTAAGCATTTACATTGTGAAAGTTGTAGTACTTGTTATTTCTAGGTCAAATTAATGATGTTTGGAGGCAATTTGATTGAACTTTATTTTTAAATTTGTGAGGCCTTAATTGATATCATTATCATGTGAGCCTTTTGCAAGTTTCTAGAGTGAGTGGCCGAAGAAAATTTTATGTATTTCATTGAATATGTTATGTTTGTGCCAAGGTTATTAACACAGAGCACAATGTAATGCACAAAGTTTTTTTTTTTTTTTTTTTTTTTTGGGGTAAAAATAAAAAAGGAGGGGATTGTTAATTATTAGCAATGCAATTTTTACAAAAAAAGTGATGTTTTATGCACACTCTTTAAGATTAACCCATTTGAATTAGTTGAATAAGAATCTCCAATCATCTCATTTGTATATTGTACTGTAAGGAGGAGGAAAAATCAAAGATTTGAAGCGAATTGGAGAAATAATACAAAAGCTGGAAATAGAGGGCTGCATTTGTGCTATATCTTTTGATTCTCTTGTTACTTGCATGAGTTCACTTGAATCTCTTGCTGCATATTATTCTCGTAAGTGGGTGGACTGAGAGAGGCTTTGCATCTGACGTGACATTTGCTTCAACGATGAAGAGGAGAGTTAAGCATTGCATGAGATGTGATGAAAAGAATGCAGTATCTACAAATCAAATTGAATCAAGATTGTAAAACTCACTCTCTTCATTTCCCATAAGCTTTCATGAATCAACAATGAAATATACGGCTCATAAGTCACGAGCATGTAATGAGCTCCATAGGTTGACATGTGCATTGTTGTGCATCACGACATCCATTTGCTTTGTTATGAAGCAATGCACAAGGCCCTCACATTGAATTGCTTCTCTTCAAAGCAGGTTATGATGCTTGTTTTTGACAGTACTAGTTTATACCCACTTGTATTTTTTGATAATGTATTTTCTGTTTTCTCTTAGCCATATAAATTAGGCCAGTTGTAGATTGTTGGGATAAAGCTACTGATGGTATTGTGGAAATATCAAATTATGGTATTTTTCTAAGTACATGTTTAACTCAATTTTGATAAACCAAGGGCTAAACGATACTTGACAAGTATGGAAAGTAGTAAATAATTCAGGTTTAAATTGGAAAGTAAGCAGTTATTATAATAAGGTATTTCTTGAAATCACTTCTTATTTTTCTGATTACCTTTATTTCATTAGTTATTTTTTTGTCATTACAAATATTTACTTAGGTCATGGTTTTTAGCATCCCTCCTCTATTCACTGTGGTATGATTGTTTATTAAATTGAAATTTGCTCATGCATGTGGATTTTGATGGATTTTTTTTACCATTAATCTTTTTTGAGGATCATCAGCTATGTTAGCTCATGGAACACATTTGAACTCTTGATGAGAGAACATTACGGAAACTGTGGTTGTGATGCATGCTTCTGCCTCTTTTATGTTTTCATCAAATCTAACTAAAACTCATTAATTCACTAGTTTCTTGCTTTCAATGTTATTTGTTCTTCATCTTCTTTTTTATTTTTCTTATTATAATGTTGTAGACCAAGATTTTTGATTGATTCAATAAGGTTCTTTGATTAATATTTCAACTTCTCTCAAGCTCTATCCAATTACTTGGCGAACTTACTCTATTTAACTTGTGCATTTTTCTTGAGGCAGAGCTCTTTTACTGCATCTTTTCCTAAAATCTATACAGTTTTTGGCTCTCCTCTTTAACTTTTATCATGCAGACAACTTTCAGGGATTGTGATTTTTCTTTGATGATTTATTTCTAATTTCATGGCAATTTCTCTACTAAAATTTATCTTCTTATAATGAATAAAGAATTGCATTCCATGTGTCAACATTTTTTTTGTCTTTCTGCTTTCTTTATGCTTTGCTTTATAAACTATTGGTTCTGAGATTCATTTCTATTGGCCATTTTATGTATATCCAATTGTTGCAATGAATGTTATTCCTCAATGGATGAAGCATTGTTCATCATTTTACCTTTTTCTTTCCAAAGCAGTGACTGCTATATGCAGTTTGAGTAGTGTGCTTGGCGTAGTGTTTGGAAGTAGACAAGCTAAAAAAAGTAGACAAGCTAAAACTGTAGGTTTCCATGGCTTCATAGGTTGCAAAGAACTAAGAATTGGAAAATGGCATTTCAATTTGTTGCAAATGATATGCTGATTGTGATTTGTGTTGAGGTGATTGCATGACAATATATTAGCAGAAGTATTGAAATTTGTAATGATTTTTATTGTCAGTTCAAAATTATAATTTTCATTACTTTTTTTTCCATCCTTTTGCTCTTTCAGTAACTTTGGGCAAGTTTTGACAGGATGAAGATTTGGCATGAACTCGGATATTTTGTGTTTGTGAGACAATATTATTATCATAATAGCATAGGCTTGGATTTGAAGGCTAACGACTAATTGGGCTATGGCTGATATTGGATATGAGATTAAATTGCTGTGCCTTGTAAGGAATATATTTTTAAAGAGTTTTTATTGTTTTTCCTAGTTGATTTTTTTCTTTCATTCCTTCAAAAAGCCATCATATATCCAACAACCTTCCAAACCTAAGTTCTATATTCTTTATGTCACACAATGCTTTCTTGCATGCAACCCAACTTAGCTTGATAGATGGGTGTTTGTCTTCTAACTAAGAGATTTTGGGTTCAAGGCATATTTACAGGGATAGATGGGTGTTAGTCTTCAACAATTTGCAGGAAGATTTCTCTTCTTTATACTTCATCTTCAACCTCACGTTTAGTGTGAGCATTCATGATCGCCCACTTAATCATGCTATATTTATTTTTTTCATTATTGCCAGCAATGGTGGTCATCAGTTTTCTTCTACATTCATGGAAGCCACCACCTTTTGTGTGTTCTTTCTAGACAATCGTTACTGTATCAGGCTCTTTTGTAGTGGACGTGGTCATTGTGAGCTCTTATTTTGTACTGCTATTGCCTCATTCTTTTCTTCAATTACAAAGCTGCTATTAATGCATCGTCAGCCTTTTGAGCTTTGTTCATCTTCTGCGTACTTTTATTCCCCTAGTCGTGTATGAAACAACCTCTTAATATTGGTAAGTGGAGTCACCCGCAAAGCCTTACATTATCTCACAAGTATGACCTCAGCACTATCCGTACCTTGCTTTAAAGAAGACAATCATTAGGAGTTTAGCAGATCCTACCTTACTGCCATTCTTAAATTTAGATAGTAAAATTAAATGACATACAATTAAGTCATTTCATACCGTGAATTGAATTTTTAGAGTTTAATTACCCTTATATATCATTGGTCTTGCCCTAAATACTGAAATAAGATTTCCTTTTTAGTATTGGATATTGTTACGAGATATAATTTTATATCGAGTGCTTTCTCTATCACTAGTTTGAATGTCTTTCGCGAACCATGAGTTATAACTTTGACATGTTATGTTCCACTTAGTAGAGGTGGAAAATCCTGTTAGATATTTTATATCAAAGCCCATCCCGACTTTTATTATCAAGGTCAAGTAGGTAGAAAGATAGTCCACTTTGAGCATCACAAAGTATATAATATATTTCATACGACCATGAATATGGAAGCATATACAATTACATTTATTTAATTAAATTTTATAGCTTTTATACACCTAAATAGTCAACACATAGCATAAGTTTTTACTGTATATAATTCAAAATCTTCTTCTAAGATACATTCAAAATTATGTACTCCAAATAGCAAGTTGAAGGACAAAATTGATTATTTGACTTTGGTCTAAACCGTTTCTTCTCTTTTCTGAGATGACAAATTTAAAATATCCGATGACCTAAAATTTCAGCAGGATGAATATTTTTGAAATAAATTTCAAAATATAATAACAAGGAAAAATATGTATTTTGGTCTTTTGAACCAACATGAGTATTGGAATTCCCAGTACGGCAACTCTCAATTCAGCATATGCTTTGAAAAAAAAAAAAAAAAAACTGTCTTAAACATTAAGCATAAATATTTGCAAGAAAAATTAAATGCAATTGTCAATTGTCAACTCACTTAATGTGCTAAGTTAACCAGATGTTGATATCAATTTATTTGTTTATATTCTTTCTTATCATA